CATTTAAAAGTATGTCAGCTGGGCATGGTGGCTCATACCTGTAATCCCAGCACTTTGGGAGGCCGATGAGGCTGGCAGACTACTTGAGACCAGCCTGGCCAACATGGTGAAACCCTATTTCTACTAAAAATACAAAAAAATTAGCTGCGCATGGTGGCACGCACCTGTAATCCTAGCTACTCAGGAGGCTGAGGCTTGAGAATTACTTGAACCCGGGAGGTGGAGGCCACAGTGAGCTATGACCGCACCACTGCACTCCAGCCTGGGTGACAGAGACTCCGTCTCAGAAAGATAAAATAAAATACAAATAAAAGTATGTCACCAGCCAGGTGCGGTGGCTCATGCCTGCTGTTCCCGCACTTTGGGAGGCTGAGGTGGGAGGATATCTTGAGCGCAGAAGTTCAAGGCTGCAGTGAGTGTGGTTGTGCCTCTGCACTCCAGCCTGGGCAACAGAGCAAGACCTTGTCTTAAAAAAAAAAAAACTATATATATGTATATATATGTATGTTACCCCTCAGGCCTCAGTTCAGAAGCAAGACTTTTACTACCACTATTTTAAAAGTCTTACTCTATATCCTGCCACTTGGCAATGGAGAAGCTTCCACCGCATCCATGTTAAATGTGGATTATGTGCAGTGCATGGTGGTAGATCTGTATGGTATAAAAAGGGACGGTTTGTGCCCTCTAAGAAGCCCCTGCCCAGATGAGCAGCAAGCAGGAATCACGTGCCAGTCTTCAGACGAAAGGCACAGAGGAGACATCGGAGAGCGTAGGGACAGCAAATATTCTCCAGGCAGCTCTGGCTGCCACGCAGGTCCCAGACTGGGGAGGTTCCTTAGCACTGAGTGTGCCCTGAATGTGTCTGTGGGGATGCCTGGCTCACACCTCCTCCCTCTGTGCTGCAGATGAAGATGCCTTCTAAGAAGTTTGGACACATCCCTGTCTACACACTGGGCTTTGAGAGTCCTCAGAGGGTATCAGCTGCCAAAACCACGCCAATCCAGAGAAGAGACATCTTTCAGTGCGTTCTTTGCCTTGTGCTGAGTCGCTGTGGTGGTCGAGCGTGAACAGGAACTTGGGAGCTGGGGTGGAGGGGCTGGCTTTGTCTCTGTGTGCTAGGACACCCCAAGGAAATGGAAATCCAAGGCAGAGACAGGTCATTTTGTAGGGCTCTGGGAGGCTGAGTCGTATGAGATGGAAACTGGCCTCAGGTGGTCAGGGAAGAGTCTTTGCTGAGATGAACGCTGCTAGCTGTGTTTGTTGCCTGAGGGCCAAGGGGAGGCCTAGGGTGAAAGGCAGCCAGGAGGGGGCTGTGGGATGCACAGTCAGGGAGGGGGTGTTGCACTCTGGCTGGCTCCTCTACCTGACTGCCCTCTCCCGCCCCCCAGATCTCTGCAAGGGCCACAGTGGCAGAGCGTGGAGGAGGCGTTCCCCCACATCTACGCCCACGGCTGTGTCCTGAAGGATGTCTGCAGTGAGTGCACCAGCTTTGTGGCCGACGTGGTGCGTTCCAGCCGCAAGAGCGTGGACGTCCTCAACACTACGCCACGACGCAGTCGCCAGACCCAATCCCTCTACATCCCTAACACCAGGACTCTTGAGTTCAAGTGACAGCCCCAGCAGGCCAGGCCTCCAGGAGGCACCAGGCAGGCCCTGTACCAGGCTAGGACGCTCTGAGCTGTGCATGTACATATATACATATATAGATACATTTATAATATATATACACAGCCTATATATTTATATACACCGTTTCCTGGCCCCAGAGCTCATTTGGGTTCAGGCGCACTTCAGAACCCTCCCTGGGGGAGGCTGTTTCTTCTCAGGATTCCTTGCCAGGGAGGAAGGAGAGGGAGGTGGTGGGTTTTCTCACTGAGGGGAGAAAGCAGAAGGTTCTAGATCCCGGCACAGACTGCATCCCATGTTCCCATTCTCTTCTCCATCCCCAGGAATGAGAGCAGCAGCTTTCCCTCCGCAGTGAACGTCTAGGTGGGGATAGGGTATCTCGGCTCCCAGCTGGACCAGAGCGCCCTGCCTGCCTCTGCTCTCCCTTTGTGGGCACTCGGGCAGCAGAAGCACCTGGAAGTCTCTGAGTGGGCAGGGTCCCCGTGAGAGGCACCCCCTGCCTCTGATTGAAAGGTCTGGCCAGGCTCACGCCTATAATCCCAGCACTTTGGGAGGCTGAGGGAGGATCACCTGAGGTCAGGAGTTTGAGACCAGCCTGGCCAACATGATGAAATTTCGTCTCTACTGAAAATGCAAAAATTAGCCAGGCGTAGTGGCAGGTGCCTGTAATCCCAGCTACATGGGAGGCTGAGGTAGGAGAATCACTTGAACCCATGAGGCAGAGCTTGCAGTGAGCTGAGACCGTGCCACTGCACTCCAGCCTGGGCAACAGAGGGAGACTCCGTCTCAAAAAAAAAAAAAAAAAAAAAAAAAAATCTGTGCCACGCTGCTCCCTGCCCTTTCCCTGGGGTCCAAACCACATCTGTCCTGCCCCTCCTCCCCTCCCACTCTCTGGTGCTGTCCTCACTCGCCTCTGGCCCAGAGGCTTCTGAAGATGCTGGGTGGTCCCAGTACAGGGAGGAGCGGCTGTCAATCTGTGCACGTGGCCACTCTTGGCCTAATAAAGGATGTCTCACAGTCTTCTGTCTGGGATGTGCACTGAGGATTCACCCAGCATGGCAGTGGGCATGTTCTCCGAAGGCTGAAGCTGGGCTTGAGGGGCCACCTGCCCTCCAGGACGAGGAAAGGCACAGTCAGGTGCCCACCAGGTGAGAGCTCCAGGCCTGTTCTGTCCGTGCAGCCCTGGCTGGCTCTACCAGCTTCGTGGTCCTGCCCACCTCAGTCAGGGCTGCATGCGGACAGCACAGACTACTGCCCATCAGCTCCTCTGGCCACACCTGCTGGCCTGGGGGACGCTTTGGTCTCATTTCCCAGATCCCTATTGTTCTTCAGGGTGAGGGCTCCCAGGCTGGAGGTGTGACTGCAGGCTCTAGACGGGCCCTGTGCTGAGTGCTGTCTGCTCACCTGTGCCCGGCTCCGCCTCTTACAGGGCCCTGCCCTGCTCCTCCGTGAGGTTCTGCCATCATCTCACCTTACAGATGAGGGAACTGAGGCTCAACGAGGTGAAAGAATTTGGCCAAAGATACAGCTCACCCAGGAACTTTGACTCCAGGCTAAAATGCTGGCCGTGGAGCCTGGAGGTCAGGAGGGACCTCATTTGCAACAGATGGGCCTGCGGGAGAAAATACTCAAACAGCTGGGGTCCAGGAAATCCAAACACGCAAAATTAGAGCCCCCAGTAAAAATAGCCAGCTTCGGGCCGGGCGCGGTGGCTCAAGCCTGTAATCCCAGCACTTTGGGAGGCCAAGATGGGCGGATCACGAGGTCAGGAAATCGAGACCATCCTGGCTAACACGGTGAAACCCCGTCTCTACTAAAAATACAAGAAAACTAGCCGGGTGAGGTGGCGGGCACCTGTAGTCCCAGCTACTCCGGAGGCTGAGGCAGGAGAATGGCGTGAACCCGGGAGGCGGAGCTTGCAGTGAGCCGAGATCCGGTCACTCCAGCCTGGGGCACAGAGCAAGACTCCGTCTCAAAAAAAAAAAAAAAAAAAAAGCCAGCTTCTAGCACATGTGTAAGTACTTCATGGACTCTCTGGCCTATATTTTTATTCCTGTTTAAAAATAAGAGGACGCACAGAGAGGGTCAGCAATCTCCTCTGGTCACACAGCCAGCAATAAGCTAATGTGTAGTGCTTGGTAAGGACGACTGTTGTTCTGGTTCTACAGGGGCTCACACTGCCTATCATGGGGAGACTGGGTTCTAATTCATACAGCAACACTTGGAAATGAAAGCCCACGTTAAAACCCTAACCAGTGCTGGGTGCAGTGGTTCACGCCTGTAATCCCAGCACTTTTGGAGGGTGAGGCAGGCGGATCACTTGAGGTCAGGAGTTTGAGACCAGCCTGGTCAACATGGTGAAACCCCATCTGTACTAAAAGTACAAAAATTAGCCGGGCATGGTGACGCATGCCTGTAGTCCCAGCTACTCGGGAAGCTGAGGCAGGAGAATTGCTTGAGCCTGGGAGATGGAGGTTGCAGTGAGCCGAGATCGCGCCACTGCACTCCAGCCTGGGAAACAGAGCAAGACGCCATCTCAGAAAATAAAATAAAACCCTAACACCCTAACCCATCCTGGGAGGGGCCAGGCCAGCCCACCAGGGCTGCTTCCTGGGTTCATGAAGCCGCAGTAAGTTGAGCAGCAGGCTGCTGGTACCTGTCTTCTCTGTGCCCTCCTGCCCCCGTGTCCCCAACCCCCGGCACAGGAAGCTGTGCCATCCGCCCACTGAACCGAGCCCTATCTCAGCCTCATCTACTTTATTTTTGTTTTTCTTTTTTCTGAGACAGGGTCTGGCTCTGTGGCCCAGACTGGAGTGCAGTGTCACGATCTCGGCTCACTGCAGCCTCAGCCTCCCGAGTAGCCGGGATGACAGACGTGCCCGGCCACACCCGGCTAATTTTTGTATTTTTAGTAGAGACTGTTTCACCATGTTGCCCACGCTGGTCTCGAACTCCTGACCTCAGGTGATCCGCCCACCTCGGCCTCCCATAGTGCTGGGATTACAAGCGCCAGCACCGCGCCCGGCCCTTAGACCGTGACAAACGCGGGCGGCCTGTCCTGGAACTGCTCAGAACCACTGTCGCTAACGAGGCCTCAGGCGGGCAGCGAGGGCCGCGTCCCTCACTGGTGCCCGAGGGGCGGCGGCTTCAGGCCAGGGCAGAGGTGGGCATCGACGGCTAGATCACTCGAATGACACCGTGACACGAACAGACCAACTAGCAGCGTCCGGGACGCAGCTGAAATGCTCCAGGCCCGGAGCGGGGACAGCCCC